AAATATCACGTTGATAGATTGTATTATTGACCAAACTCTGCAATCCTTCCAGTAAGCACACACTTTTTAACATAATGTTGCAATGCCCTCCTGTTGAGCAACAATTAAGTATTATTCACTTATTACAGCAATACAGGCAAAGGCAAAAGAGAAAGCCATCAGCTCCCCAGTGTTCCATTTCCCCCTGGAACAACACTGGACTAGGGTGTGGTAGATGCATTGCAGACAGGGATATTCATTTCTCTTCAGATGAGTGCTGAACAAAAGGCTCCTGCCTATTTGTAGAGTGTGGACACAGGAAATGGGAGAAGGGTGAGAAGGCAAATGCTCAGAGTACAAAAGTACTGAGTTAAATTGGAGAAAAATGCCTCAGCCAAGGCCCCAGTAAAGAAAACTTAGAGGATGTGCCTGAGAAGTGCCTCAGCTGAGGTCCCCAATAAAGATAACTCTAGGCTAGGAATGCGGACATGTATAAGACCATGGCTGGTCCGGGCATGAGTCCTTAATTGCACCTCCACAGACTATAATGTGCCTGCTACTGAGCCTGGCATGGGAATGACAGCTGATCCCCAAGAGGCCTTCCAGGCAAAGTCTTGTAATTGCCTATGATTAGTCCTGAAAGGTTGCATAGAGTGTTTTGCCTAGAGCCTCACTCTTCACCTGCCACTGAAGGCAGAACTACTTTGCCACCTCTTGACTTTGGATTTGGTCATATGACTTGCTTAGGCCAACAAGATGAGGTGCAAGTGATGGTAAATAAGCTAAATACATATATACTGCTGAGATTATTTGATTCTTTCCTATATAGTTATAGTTAACTCCAAATTAATGAATGGATCTGGGCAATGATTGTCAATTGCTGCTCACATCACAAAACAAAGGACAACCTGATGTGATGTATCTCCTGAGAGAAGTATACAACACCACCTATGAAACAGCTTTGCAACAATTCAAACCTGAAACTGATCAAGCCTCTAAAACACAGATGGCAGAAAGCACAGGTAATACAAGAACATATTAAACAATACTAAAATCCAGATTGTAGAAAATTCTTAGGACTAATAATCTAGGTTTCTAAACATATAATTGGGGGGTATATAAGAGGAAACTATAGATTGAAAGATTTCTAGAGATATAAAAATCAATTACCATGTATAGACCTTAATTAGATCCAGGTTGAAGCAAAATGTTAAAAAAAAATTGTGAGACAATAAAGGTTATTTGTGCTTTGAACACTGGCTATTTGATATTGTAGGAAATTATTACAATTATTTTAAGAGTGATAATGGTTTTTTACTGTTTTATTTTTTTATATTTCAGCATCATGAATAACCCCAGAGTTAATGGTTCAAAACAGCAGACTCAAAACCTTGTGGGTCAAGAATTTGAGCAAGGTTCAATTGTGTGATTCTTCTGCTCCATGTGGCACCATCTGAAATCACATGGTGGTATTCAGCTGGCAGATGGGTAGATCTAGAGGGTCCAAGATGAGTTCATTCACATGTCTCGTGCTTTGTAGAGAGGAATGAAAGCCTGGGCTCGGTTGAGACTTTTGAGGCAAGCATTTACATATGGCCTCTTTAGTGTGGCTGTTTTAGGGTTGTCAGACTTCACATGGAAGCTCAGGGCTCTCAGAGAATGTGTGTGTCTCAAGAGATACAGATGGAAGCTTCAAGACCTCTTAAGACCTAACTTTGAAAATGCCAGAATGATACTTCTGCCACATTCTATTGGTTGAGATTCAAGGTGAAGGGAATTAGGCTCTAGCTCTCAATGGAAGGCACGGTAAAAATGTGGGGTTGATTATATATGAACTACCACAGTGGTTATGTTTTTGAAAGGATATGCCTTCTATTTTAGAGGTATGTACAGAATTATTTGCAGATGAATGGTCTGGTAATTATTTCATAATAATTGGGGTGAGGAAGAGCTAATGATACAGATGAAACAGCATAAGTCATAAATTTATCATTACTGGATCTGGATAATAGGTACCTGGAAGTTCATTGTATTATTCTATTTTCACAGATGTTTGAAATTGTCCAAAACAAGAAACATAAAAAATAAAGGTTTAGCCCCTCCCTGCATAAGAAAAGACCAACAGAAACCTCTCTGGTACTATGTGTTTGATGTATCTTTACTGATACTAAACATTGTATCATCGACCAAAAGCAACCAGTTTATAGGTTGAGGCAGCCATGCCCCTAAATCAATCCAACTGTGACAATCTATTTTGTAGTGTAACTCATAGACCCTAACAGATTCTTTCTTAGGAATATGTGAGTACAGAAAGAAGAGCAGTTAGAACAAGTAAAAAGAGTAAACAGTTGAAAGGGAGGCCTAGTAGAGTGGGACACACACAGAGAAGAAACCTAAATTGCAATTATGTTGGAGTCACAAGAGTGGGAGCAATATGTCTGTTTCTGAGGTGGCCACATGCTTAACTGAGCAACACAATTATTGTTGAATCATGAATGATACTAGGTTTTACATGTGGTCAGTACATCAACTGCCTAGAAGTCTCCTTTGTCTTCTGGTTGCCTAATTTTGTAAACTTATAATAAACATCTCCTGTTTGCTTTTTCCAACATGAAAAAGACTGTGGTGGATGTGGTTGTGTGCTGCAAGATCCATCTCTCCCTTCCCTACACTATATTCTCAAGGACACAACCCTTGTTTCTCTAGCTACTGGCAATAGTGATGGCTCTTAGTTGAATCAGTAGAGAGATGCCTTATCTAAGATCACAGTCCTGAAAGCAGCTCTCAACTAAAATCGGGGTGGGAAGATGATGGGAATGAAGATGCCTTTGTCTCAGTCAGGATAACCTATAGGTCCAGTGCTCCTTAAGTGAACAGTTGAGGTCTTTGTTGTGACTGGATAGTAATTTATTCTTTTCTTCTGTTTATCCCTGTTTCCTTCACTCACCCATTGATGTTATACTAAGAGCAGCTCTTCCCATCATAAATTTCCTACATGGAAATCTCAGTTTCCCACTGTTTTCTCTGGGAACACAATCTACAACACAGAACACACAGGTTCTTAAATCATATAAGACAATACAGCCACCTGTTTCTGTCATCCTTCCATCAACATCTCTGAAAGGTCTTGCCAGACTTAACAGCCATCAAGCTCCTCTTCCCAAATGTAAATCAGTCATCAGCACTGGTAAATCCAGGCAGCTTGACTTCAATAACCTTCACCAGTACAAACATGGAAAATATTTCCTAGAATGTGCAATGACCCATAAAAGCAGCCACCACCTTCTCAGCTGCCTTCACCAGTGTGCTCTGAGCCTCTGCTATCACTGGCCAGCCAGAGTCAATGATGATATAACTGCAGCAGAGTACAGCAACCAATGCTCCATCCCTGGACCCAAGAATGCTCCTCTAGAGTGGGTCTGGCCATCAAACAAGACATCTTGGCAAAGATGGCTTTCTGTAAGCCAGAGTTCTGCATTTTCTTTTAAGTTACCATTATTTAGGTAGATGTCTATGTAACAGCACAGAAACCTTACTTCTTTAACTTGTTCTTTCTTTTGACTTTTTTCCTTTGACTCAAACAGGCATCATTCAGCACCCTGACTCACCCACCTGTCTCATCCTTGCTTAATCATTAAGCCCTCAGGACAATGAGTTCTAGTCAGCATCCAGTAGTCTTAGGAACAAGGTCCTGGGTCTACTGACTATAGAAACAGAATTTTCAATAAAATGAAAGACAATATTTTGGCCTCAGTTGTATTTTAGTTCAAGACCCAGGAATGCTAAATAATCCCACAAAACAAATCCTGATGAAGTTGGACAGAACAACTCGATGGCTGATCAGATGTGATGATCAATTATCCCCTAGTCTAGCACCAACTAATCAGTAGAGGCCAGGACTCTTAACTCCTTAGTCACCATGATTAATGATTTTTTTATTGCTGTTCAAGTACAGTTGTCTCCATTTCCCCCCTCTGCTGCCCCCACCCCAGCCATCCCCACTCCCCACCCTTGATCCTACCCCCCCTTTGGTTTTGTCCATGTGTCCTTTATACATGTTGCTGAAAACCCTTCTCCCTTCTCCACTTATTATCCCTTCCCACCTCCCCTCTGGTTACTGTCAGTTTGTTCTTAATTTCACTGTCTCTGGTTACATTTTGCTTGCTTATTTGTTTTGTTGATTAGGTTCTACTTATAGGTGAGATCACATGGTATTTGTCTTCCACCACCTGGCTTGTTTCACTTAGCATAATGCTCTCCAGTGCCATTCATATTGTCACAAAGGGTAGGAGCTCCCTCTTTCCCTCTGCTGTGTAGTATTCCATAGTGTAAATGTACCATAGTTTTTTGATCCATTCATTTACTGATGGGTACTTAGGTTGTTTCCTGCATTTGGCTATTATAAATTGTGCTGCTATGAACATTGGGGTGCATAGGTTCTTTTGAATTGGTGTTTCAGTGTTCTTAGGGTATAATCTCAGCAGTGGAATTGCTGGGTCAAAAGGTGGTTCCACTTTGATTAGTGATTTTTTTCCCTATATAACCTCTCCCCTGGAAGCCACCAGAGAGCCAGGTCTTTGAGCATGAGCTACTTTGAGCATGACTCAAGGAGGAGGCATGGTGCCACCTCCTTAATAAATCCTTACTTTCTTGGCCCAAACTCCTCTTTGTGCCATATAAGGCTTTGATGCACACAGGCAAATGGGCCGCTTCAGTCTGGTAACATCTGCAGTAATTGCAGCTGGAAGCCCAAATTAAAGAGACTCAGCTGCTACAAAGAATGACAGACAAAGCCATTATCACATCTCAATATGACAATGCAGACAAAGAGGTGAACTACTCTGTGGGAATCTATCTGGATTTAAAATGTCTGTTCCAATGTGATCTATAAGCCAAGAACTTTATCTCAGCCCCAATTAGTAAACATTAACAGTGATGAAATTAGATACAACACATTAGCTATATGTTATGAATTAATATCAGCACACAAAAGGAGGTGACTAAAAATACTGTATTTCCTTTTTTTGATGGGATGCCTTATGAATTTGCATATCATCCTTGCTCAGGGGCCATTCTAATCTTCTCTGTTCCAATTTTTTTTTTTTTTAGTATATGTGCTGCCAAAGTGGGCACAGACTATTACATTCTTTTCATTGAACTTGCTAATTACTATGAGCCTATCTCCTATCAGACGGAGAAATTCAGGTGAGAAATTCAACTTCAATGACGTTGGGGACCTAGCTCCTAAAAAGACATGTGAAAATGTCCTGAGGCTGACATAGTACCACACTAGTTATTGTTGATTCATTCACCTCACAAACTGTACTCATGTCTGCTTCAACTCTCCCCTCCCAGGTGCCTATAAAGCCATTCCCATCCTATCCCAGTTCACAAGGGAGCAAAACCAGGGCCCAAGATTGTAAATGGCTTTCAGTCCCTCTGAGAACATTTTCTTCCAGCCTGGGGCTTCTTAAAGCAGTATTTCCTCCTCTTCTCCTCAAGGAAACCTGGTAGAAATCCCTTGAAAGTTCTTCAGCCCTAGAGATTAGGTTTCTACCAACCCAGCAGGATTCCTTAACCTTAGGCTGTTTATGCTTTCTGTTCAACCTAAGCCCAGGGGCAGAGAATGGATAAGGGTGTAAGGGAAAATGTTGGAAGAATGAACAAAATTTACTGATTCAATAAATTACCCTGCAACCCTCTGATAACTCTTCCTTTCACTCAGTGACAATTAGAAGTCCCTACTTTGGCCTGGCAAGTCCAGCATGACTTGACTTCCTGTTCCCTCTCAGACCTTGTCTTTTCTTATGCTCCTCCTCATAATTCTACTGTAATTCCATTCTGCTTCTTCATGTTCCTTGAACTTACCAAGCTTTCTCCTTATCAGAGCCTTATGGTGGCTAGCCTCCAGGAGGATCTTTAATGAGCCCAACTCCTGGTATTTATGTCCTTATATAGTCTGCTCCTATACTGAATAGGGTTGATCTTTGTGTTGACTTAAGAAATATCCAAATCTGAACAGATTTTTATGAGTTTATTAGAGCCAAACTGAAGGCATACTGGGAAACATGATCTCAAATACTCCAGAGAATAACAGTACTGTATCTTCTGTGCATTGAAATTAAGGAGAGAATTTATGGAAGTTTACATGCAGGTGGGAGAAAGCAAGGCAAGGGTTGGATTACAAGATAGCGATGATTGTGTGCTCTCTTGGGGGTGCTTATTTCAAAGGTATGTTAACTTATATGCACAGAAACAATAGAAAGGGCTTGCTTAAGGCAAAGATAAATCTTTCACTAAAAGGTTATATGCCTGGGGTGTGACTGACTACCCATCATAACCTGCCCAGTTAAGAATTTATGATCAGATCACACTGTGAGGTTACTTTTTATAGAACCTTTTTTTCCCTCTATCCACATGAAACAATTGGATTTTGCAGAGACAATGGTGTGTGACCTCTAAGTTAAGACACATAAGACATGTGGCTTCTACCTTTGCCCCATCTTAGACAATTTGCTCTGGGAGAAGCCAGCCAGCCACTGTGTCATGAGGACACTCGGGCAGCCCTTGGAGAGATCCATGTGGAGACCTACTGAGGCCTCATGTCAACAACCAGCATTATATTAGTGAGCCTTTTTAGAATTGGATCCTCCAGCACATGCCAAGGGTAGGCATGTGCTGGCATCTTAACTGACATCTTAACTGCAATCTCTTAAGAAACTTTGAGCAAAAACCCCCCAATTAAGTCACTTTCAAATTCTTGGCCCATAAAAACTGTGAGATAATAAATATTTATTGTAATTTTAAGCCATTTAGTTTTGGGATAACTTGTTTTTGCAGCAATAGATACCTAATACAAGTCTTGACAAGCCTTCCACCAGAATACTTTATCTCAAACTTCCTACATCACCTACACTCCTCTACACATCAGAACACTGCTCAATGTCTCCTTGTAATATGGCCTCCTCTGATCATCTATGTAAGCACCCTCTGCCCATGATGATATCATTTTTGGTCCCCCTTTCCCTGTTTTATATTCCTTCATTGGCATTTATAACTACCTGATATTATATAAAGTGTTTACTATCTGCATCACCATGCTCAAATATAGACTCCTTGAGAACAGGAACTTGTTTTGTTCTCAGCTCTACATCTAAGACAAAGAATAGTGTCTGTCCCACAGCAGGCATTCAACAAATACTTGTTCAATAAAAGAAGAAATGAAATTAAAAGTTGGTGAAAGATGATCATGGAATCATGGGGTCAGACTGAGATTATGAGACTCAATTTGCATCTTGAAGACAGTATCAGATATTATCAGATAGTTTTGGGGTACTGTACTCTAGCTCTGGTCTAGGCAATTAAAGCAAAGACAGGGATTCAGAATTATAGCTTATAAGAAAACAAGGAGAGACCAAGAGAGAAGAACCAATAGAGAAGGCCGAATTTATAAGGGCAAGCCATGAATGTCAAGCCAAGCAGCTGCAGGGTATTTGCCACAAGGCATGTAATATTCTACACAAATCATAAAACTGATCTCAGGAATTATTTTGTAGTATATTTTATTGATTATGCTATTACAGTTGTCCCATTTTTTCCCCTTTATCCCCCTCCACCCTGCACCCCTCTCCCATCACCCCCACCCTTAGTTCATATTCATGGGTTGTACATATAACTTCTTTGGCTTCTCCATTCCCTATACTATTCTTAACCTCCCCCCCCCCCCCCCGTCTATTTCTTTCCTACCAATTGTGCTTCTTGTCCCTGTATCTTTTCCCATTCTCTGCCCCCACAACCCCCGCCCCCCCACTAATAACACTCCATGTGATCTCCATTTCTATGATTCTGTTTCTATTCTAGTTGTTGGCTTAGTATGTTTGTTTGTTTGTTTGTTTTCGGTGTTTTAGGTTCAGTTGTCAATAGTTGTGAGTTTTTTCTCATTTTACTGTTCATAGTTTTGATCTTCTTTTTCTTAGATAAGTCCCTTTAACATTTCATATAATATGTGCTTGGTGATGATGAACTCCTTTAACTTGACCTTATCTGGGAAAACACTTTGCCCTTCCATTCTAAATGATAGCTTTGCTACATAAGCTATGTTGGATGTAGGTTCTTGCCTTTCATGACTTTGAATACTACTTTCCAGTCCTTTCTTACCTGTAGGGTTTCTTTTGATTAATCAGCTGATAATCTTCTGGGAACTCCTTTGTAGGTAACTCTCTGCATTTATCTTGCTGCTTTTAAGATTCTCTCCTTGTCTGTAATCTTGGGAAATTTAATTATGTGTCTTGGTGTGTTCCTCCTTTGGTTCGATTTCTTTGGGAGTCTCTGAGCTTCCTGGACTTCCTGAAAGTCTATTTCTCCTGCCAGATTAGGGAAGTTTTCTTTCATTTGTTCAAATAACTTCAAAACCTTGCTCTTCCTCTTCTCTTTCTGGCATCCTTATGATTCAGATGTTGTAACCTTTAAAGTTGTCTCAGAGGTTCCTCAGCCTCTTCTCATTTTTTTGAATTCTTATTTCTTAATTCTGTTCTGGCTGAATGTTTATTTCTTCCTTTTACTCCAAATCATTGATTTGAGAACCAGTTCCCTTGCCTTCACTGTTGGTTCCCTGTATATTTCTTTTTGTTTCACTTTGTATAGATTTCACTTCTTCCTTTATTTTCTGACTGAACTCAACCATTTCTGTGAGCATCCTGATTAGCAGTGTTTGGAACTCTGCATCTGATAGGTTGGTTATCTCCTCATTGCTTCATTCTTTTTCTGGAGTCTGATCTGTTCTTTCATTTGGGTCATATTTCTTTGTGTTAGCACACCTGTTGAGGGTGTTGTAAGTGGGGGGAGCATTAGATGTTCTCCAGGGTGGGGCAACCCATTTCACTGTGTTGTGGTGCTATATGTGGGGGAGGTGTCCAAGAGGGAACAATGGTGCTTGCTTGGCTCTTGCTCTACATTCAGTCACTTCCCCCACTACCCACAAGCAAATTAGGCCCTTCTGGTGCGTATTTTCAGGTGGGTGGAACCGTGTACATTCTAGGACCCTGTGGGTCTCTCCAACAAACTCTCCTGTAAGGCTGGGAGTTTCCCCTGCTGCTGCAACACCCACAGGTTTTTACCACTAGAAGTTTTGAGTCTTTGCTTTCCCACTGTAACCCTGTGTTGCCCAGTCTGTCTTGCTCTCCAGTTGTTCTTCCTGTCTTATCTGCACATGAATGTGGGACCTCTTGATCTGCCAGTTGCTCCCTTGTCTTGTGTCCACTTTCCCCTCCTACCAGTCTGGATGAATATTTCTTCTTTAACTACTTGGTTGTTGGACTTCCATACAGTTCAATTTTTTGGCAGTTCTGGTTCTTTTTGTTTTTAAATTTGATGTTATCCTTCTTTTGGTTGTACAAGGAGGCAAAGTGTATCTACGTATAGTAATCTGTGTACAGTATATAACTATGTATTAGTAATCATTGAAAGTCTTTTATTTTATTTTATTTTATTTTATTTTATTTTATTTTATTTTATTTTATTTTAATGTTTGTTCAAGTACAGTTTTCTCCCTTTTACTCCCAATCCAGCCCACCCTCCCAACCCTCCCCCCTTCCCTCCCATTACCACCCTCTCCTAGTTTTTATCCATGTGTCCTTTAAATTTGTTGCTGTGAACCCTTCCCATTGTCCCCTGAAATTCCCTCATCTCTCCCTCGTGGTCACTGTCAGCCTGTCCTCCATTTCAGTGTCTTTGGTTATATTTTGCTTGTTTCTTTGTTTTGTTGTTTAGGTTCCTGTTAAAGGTGAGACCATATGTTATTTGTCTTTCACTGCCTGGCTTGTTTCTCTTAGCATAATGTTTTCCAGCTCCATCCACGCTGTTGCAAAGGGTAGGAGCTCCTTCTTTCTTTCTGCTGCATAGAATTCCATTGTGTAAATGTACCATAGTTTTTTGATCCATTCATTTACTGATGGGCATCTAGGTTGCTTCCAGCATCTAGCTATTGTAACTTGTGCTGCTATGAACATTGGGATGCATAGGTTATTTTGGATTGGTGTTTTAGTATTCTTAGGATAGAGTCCCAGCAGTGGAATTGCAGGGTCAAAAGGCAGATCCATTTTTAGTTTTCTGAGGAAGTTCCATACT